AATCCACGATTCCAACTCGTCCGATCCCACGGCGCGCATCGACGCCAGGATCCACGGGCTCCATCTCACCTGATCTGAAAACAAACTAACCACCTCGGCTGCACAATGACGCCTTGGTTAATAACTCCATCTCGACTGAAAAACACGCACAAACATGCCCGCTGGCAAACACCCCCCAGCCGATTTTGCCCAAACCACCCGGGGGCTCAGGGGCTACACCCGCGGGTGCGCTCGCGCGCACCCGCCAATAAAACAAAAACCTCCCCCGCTGGCAATACGAAAACCCCCCCAGATGGTTATGCCCGAACCACCCGGGGGCTCGGGGGCTACACCCATGGGTGCGCTCGCGCGCACCCATCGTCAAGACAAAAATCTCCTAGACGATTCTGCCCGAATTGCCCAGGGGCTCGGGGGCTCCTATCGGGTTCATAAACCCGGGGTCCCTCACGAACCGGCTTCCCCGCAAAGGCTCGTCCCAAGCAGACAACACGCAACTAGTGGGCTAGCCCGAGTACCCAAGCGACAGGCCGGAGGAGTGATCCAATCTCCGACCGGAAGGCCAGGAGCGCTCGTTCACTGACTTCGGCCCTCCTCTCCGACCGGAGCGCTCGCTTCGGTCTCCAGCCCACCTCTGGACGGCCTCTCCGATCGAAAGGCCTAGCCGAGAGCACCGCTTCCAAACTCCGACCCCGCGCTCTCCGACCGGAGATATGCCAAGCACCTGCTCACTGTTCTTCTCTGACTGGCACGATCAGAGCCGACTGGGACCAACCTACCGAGAACGCCCGCTCGGTAGGGACCAAGAGATGTGCGGAGAAAAGCAAGGCAAAGCGTACAAGTCAAACCACGATACCAAGGATCCTACCCTGTACAACTGCAGAAACAGTACTCTATAGCCTCCTGACACAAACAGTGTTATAGGCACTGACTTTTCTCCTACAGTATTGTGGGTGCCATTAACTCCCATACGGTACGGCACCCCCCACATGCCTCTGGGCATCGACAATGTTGTGGGCACTGGAATTTACCGTACCGAGTGAACATGGTGGAACCCCTCACATGCCTCTAGGCATCAACAGTATGTGTAGGTACCGACATCTACCATACCTGAAGAAGGCGACGCAACCCCCCACATGCATCTGACATTCTATAGTGACATCAACAGTATTGTGGGCGCCTACAATCATCTTATACACGTCGGCATGGGCAACAAGGCTTAGAAACAAACGTACTCTCTCCCTCTCACTTGTAAAGCCATCCCCTTCATCTATAAAAGGGGATGCACTCCCTCCAACATAGTTCAGTTGATTCAAGTTTGTTCAAGTCCCTTTAGATTCATTAGATTGACCAAGTTTACTAGTCCACAACCGTAGAACCGCCAGGTTCGAACCTCAAGCACATGCTTGAACACTTAGCTCGTAGCGGAGCTCCTATCGCTCTCGGCCCTTCCGACCGGACCTCTCGTACACCCCATCTTTCTCCCTCTCGTTTGTAACCCCACTGCAGACTTCGAGCACCTAGGCTCAAGAATAAAGTCACCGACTGACTCAAACTGGACGTAGGGCACGTTGCCTGAACCAGTATAAACCCTATGTCATTGAGTGCTAGGCCACCTCCGATCACAGCGTACGCCAAAACTACAAATATTTACGTGTTGGTCACTTTCTGCACCGACACATTGGAAATATATATATATATGATGTGCAATTATGTTACAAGATTTATATTCAAACTACATGCATAGATATACCTACCTATGAGTCCTACTAGCTTAGGTCGAGTAGCTGCTATGCTTAGGTTTTTTGGTAGCGTGAGTAACCTGCCGTTACTCACAATAGGTGATTATTATTATCACTCTCATGATAAAATAGTGAAAAGAAATGGAGACCAGGCAGGGATATGGTACGGGTATTGGTGGGTGTAAGACGTTGTGTCCCGCGGCCAATGGGGCATAGCTTGGTTACACTGTTTTCCCTGTCCGTGTCGGTTAAGGACCGGTCGTTGTATTGGATTATAGTCAGGTCACAGACTTATTATCCTGAGCACATACTTATTTATGGGAGCAGGGAAGGCTCGTTGCTCTCTTGTCGGGGGTTCTGGCTCTTTTTGGACCGACTGATTGGAGGTGGGGATGGTGGAGGTCTAAGCACCATACTGAGTCGAGGACTCAGGTGTTGGGGCTTCGAGTCTAAGTTTGGACGAAGACCTAGACCCCTTGACCGGAGAGTGATAGGTTGGTCCTGTTTGTGCCTAGGGTACAAGTGGGGTGTGTGTTTTGGGGTACCTAGCTAGGCACATTGATTCGTGAATCGTCAGGTGATCCGGTATGACTTGTCTATGATCTAGCACCGTAGTAAGAACTGGAAGATGAAAGATGGTGAAATAGATCTGTTTGCTCAATTCTTGCTTGAAAGTAGAACAGGTGCTTACCTAGAATGGTTAGATAATAAACTAATCAGGACTGCTAATAAGAAACATACATAAGGCTTCACTACTAGTATTGCTTTCCGCAAAAAGGAAACCTAGCAAACCATAAAGCTTATCATATCCTTTGGAGTCGGGAAATTATTCCCACTAGTCGGGTAAGTCTTGCGAGTACATTATGTACTCAGGGTTTATTTACCCCTGTTGCAGGTGTAGCTTGAAGAGTAGCTATTATGTGGACGATTCTTCTGGTGGGCACAGACAGATCCTTGTATTCTACCATTAGATGTTTATTGTAATTCCGCTGTTTAAATTCTGCACTCTGAACTTAGTATTGTAATAGTATATTTCTAAGAACTCTGGTTGTATGAAATGGACTAAGCATTGTAAACTCGTTCTCATTATTGGATCCTGGAGGAAAAACGAAGATTATTTGAGTTCTCCCTTGGGGTGTGCTCGGCGGAATCCGTCCGATGTAGCTTACTTTCCGGGTGCTTAGTGTCTGGTGGAAGACGAGTGTCTCCGAAAGCGTGCTATTTCGGGTGGTTCTACCACAAGCTGCGGCATGTGCAGCTCGTCCCCAGAATTTCGGACGTCTTCCGTTGGCGCCTCACGGTGGATGGTTCCTATTCTTCTGCTTCGGCATATGGAGCCATGTTCCTTGGGTCATCCAGACCGCTGGGAGCAAAGGAAATCTGTAAGACGTCAGCACCGCCGAAAGTACGCTTCTTCTTCTGGTTGGTAATGCATGATCGCTGCTGGACAGCGGAGCGGAGGTTATAGCATGGCCTACAGGACTCCGACAGATGTATCTTTTGCGACCAACTCCCAGAGACAATGCACCACATCATCATCGGTTGTGTCTATAGCAGAGAGGTATGGCATTTCATACTTGACAGGCTTCACCTCACTGATGTTATCCCTGTCCAAGAAAAGGATGTCCTAGCATGGTGGCTGCGTAATAGGAAGTTGCTCCAGAAGCATGTGTGGAAGGGGTTTGATTCCCTGTTCTTCCTTATCGGTTGGAAACTATGTAAAGAAAGGAACGCTAGGACTTTCGGCGGAGAACCCACTCCTCCGGGCAACTTAGCTTGCTTGATCCAGGAGGAGGCCGATGAGTGGTGTCGGGCAGGTTTCAAGCACCTGCTATCCTTGCTTGCGTTGTTGTAGGTCGTTTTCCTCTGGTCGCCAATCGTCCAACTGTAAATTACAATCTCATGCTGTTGTTGGGCTGTTGAGCCTTAGTAATCACTAGATTACTGTCGCTTTGTCATGTACTTTGAACTTTCTCTTCTGGCTTAATGAATTTCGTGCTAATGCACGTTCAAGAAAAAAAAACTTTACCTAGTCAACTGATAAGACAAATATCAGAATGTGACCTCGGCGCAAATGCACCAGCAGTACCCAGAATATTCAGAGGACCGATATGCCTACCAAAAATACTGTAGCCACTTAGACTTGGACAATAGCGGGCGCAAACAAACGTTCCGGTTTGACAAAAAAATGGATCTTAGTACACGAATAGTATACTGTGCTCTGAGCCGCCTCACTTTAGACTCGCTCCTCCACCTCGCAAGGATCATGCTGACGCCGAAGTGCTTGTCAACCTCGACGAGACCAAAGGAAAACAGAGAACTACAGCAAAGTGGACCAAAAGGGTCACTTTAGTTTGTGCACAGGGTTTGTAGCGTAAGGGCAGCTCTAACAATCGACTTTTAAACTAGCTCTGAGTATTTTTCTCATATTTTAATAGAAGAGAGAGAAAAACCAGCTCTTGATCGAGAACTAAGCTGTTACATACAATTTAAGGTTATGTGAGAGTATTATGTGGGGTTATTCATGTAAAAACTATGTGCTAAAAGTTAGCACTATTGAAGAAGTTGACTAACCACCGCGGGTGCCCTAAGCATGCAGTAATTAAGGGTGAGGAAGGATGAGCGCCTAATATAAAATAGGAAAAGTAAACCTCGGGTCTTGGATGAGTACTCTATGATATTGTGTGTACATTGTGACAATCTGCTAGCCGGCCTTTTAGATAAATAAGCACAAATATTATGATGATTCATAAAACACCGAAGAAATGGCGATTCACGAAGTACCAGAGAAATGCAAGTCGTAATGGACTGTCAGTGTCACAATGCTATGTCAAAGCGATGGTGGAAAGAGGAAATCTTACGATGACATAGCACAAATATATGATTTTTGAAGGGACAGAATAAAAATAAAATAAAGTGTTGGTCTCGTTTTTTAAATGAACATCGGGCAAAAAAACACACAACTAGAGAGTGCCACGCTCCACACAACTATGGTGCTATGACTAGTCAACTATCAACTTCATACAACTCTTCTCTCACTGAGCCAACTGACCAACTCGGTCGAAACAAAACCCCACCCAACTCAACTCACCAGGGTTTTTTTAACTAGGACAAAACAAAAAAGCCCCATCACAACTACAAACTTTGTCAGGAGACAACTCAACAACAACAATTACAACAGGCAAGACAAAGTGCACAGGACAACTAGAGGGGATTCATCTCGAACCACTAACTTGCACCGTTGAAGAGGAAGAACCATCGATGTGCCTCAATTGTGAACCATGTCGCATATATATTGGAAGGTACTTTCATGGTACTGACTTCCTTGGAAGCACAAGGAAGAAGCATGCAAGCCATATTTGGAGGTCCATCCTAGCTAGGAAAGAAGTCCTTGGACGGGAACTGATCAAAAGGATCGGAGATGGCACCTCAACTAACTTTTGGCAGGATAGGTGGATTCCATTGCACTTTGATGCTAGACCGATAACGCCCAGAGATGATCAAGAGGTAAGCCTGGTGTCTGAACTACTGACATGCTCTGGGTAGTGGAATGAGGACCTCATCCGAGCCATCTTCCTTCCAATTGGTGCCAATGCTATCCTACGGATTCCCTTGCGACCACCGAGGGGGATTGGTGGGCATGGGAACCGGAGAAGCATGCTGAATACATGGTGAAGTTCACATACACAAAACTTGCTGAACACATACACCGTAGGGTGGGCTATCACCTGGAGGTTCAAGTGACGACTCTTGGAAGAGGATTTCGAAATTGAATGTCCCTCCAAATGTTAAGGTTTTTTGGTGGCGGGTTCTACATGAATTCCTTCCGGCCAAGGACATTCTCAATCGGCGCCACATTGAGCCAGTTGGTTTTTGTGATTTGTGTGGAACAGAAAGGGAGACTATTAAGCATGTCTTCACTGAAATGCACCACTACTAGGATGTTTTGGCATGAGGTTAAGTCCTTGACAGGCATAAAATTACCTCGGATGCACCCCCACACTTGGGCCAGTGACATTTTGCGGGATGATATCTGCTCTGATAAAGACCATAGTGTTTTCACCATTGGGATGTACTCGCTGTGGACGCAAAGAAATAAACACCGTCATGTGAAAGAACAACTGACAATTGCCACTGAGAAAGGTTGTGCAATGGGCGGTTGATGTCGCACATGATCTCTGGAAGATCACCAAAACCCCGAAGTAGAAGTTTGTGGGTGAAGTGAGAGAAAGGTGGTAGGCACCACAAGCAGGGTGGATCAAATGCAATACTGATGGCGCCTTCTATCCGGTGCTTGGGCAGGGTATGACCGGGGCTGTCCTTCGGGATCAGGCCGGTAATTTTGAAGGTGGGAAGGAGGGGAAAGCGAAGTGGTACCCCTACGACTTAGATTCTTTGTTGATGGAGACCCTGGCCGGCAGGGATGGTGTGGCTCTAGTCGAGGAGATGGGCGTTCAAAGGGTGCAAGTTGAAACAGATAGCAAAAACGGTGAAGTTGTGGGAGGCGGTGAACATCTAGAGATCGCGCATCTCTCTGGTCATCAGAGAAATCAAAGATCGTAGTGCTAATTTCTAGCTTTTTCTTTGGTTTATGCCAATAGATGATGTAATTGCGTTGCTCATGTACTGCCTAAGCAGGTCTCAGATGACGATAGGATGGGTGAGTGGCAATCAATCCTGGCCTGTATTGCCCATCTGCTGACCGAAGATTATATTAATTGAAGCTCTAAGTCGAAAAAAAAGAAATAGTGCCTGGGAGACTATTGTTTCTGCGACTGATAAGTCGATTGAAACTGATTTATTGTGAGAGGAAAACACTATACCATATCTGATAAGGTAGGCCGATAAGTTGAGGTGAACGGGCCGATCTCTTGGACCAGGATTGAACATTCGTGCCAAAGCAGCGTCCAGCGGCCCAGAGCCTGTTCCAGGCCCAGGTAAATTGCAAATTTCTGGAGGACCTTAACCAAACAGCCCCCGGCTGCATCACCACTCTCTCCCTCCCTTCTCTTCTCCCGTTCACCCCGCGTGCTGCGCTCTCTGACGACCACTGGGCGACAGCCGCCGCCGCCCTACACCAGCTGCCCAGGTACGGGACCTTCGCCGGCGACGAGCACCCACCAGGTATGCCCACCCCTTCCCTTCCCTTCCCTACCTGCTGTGCGAAACGGAGCACCCAAACCCTAACTTAAGCTATTTGTATTCGGATCTGATCTAGCTACAGGTCTACATGTATTATGCCTACTAACTTCCATTTTCGTTGCAAAAAACTATCGGATGTACATGTGTAGGCCCGTGTCCTTTACTGGGTCTGCCCCTGGCTGGATTCTGCAATTCAGTGCTGGAGCCCGTATACGTTTTTGATTGATCACTAGTCACAGAACCATCAGTTTGTAGGGGAGTAGAAACCTGGGAAGCATGAGTTTAATAAAATTATTTGGCACGAGTGCTAAATTTGCAGGGGTGTAATCGAGGTGCTTCCTGAATTGCTGGGTGATGATTTTCGAGCGGGCCATTATCTTTTTTTTTTCATCTGTTCATGTACCGCATAGACCTTGCAGCTTTATTTAGTGGCGAGTTGGATTCTGCATTGCAGACATGATGGATTGTAAATCTCAGATCAGATAGTTTTGTAAATTGGACCTTCTATAGGGAAACCACATGGGCACCAAAACCAGCCAAACAATTCTTTTGTTGCGAGCCTGCACAGAATTGGTTCCTGTGGAGATGAAACTATAGGAAGAGAAGTCATGAACATAGAAGTTTATTGACTTGTGTATCAAATATGCCAATCCTCTGTCCATCTATATTCCGATGTAGCCTGCCAGTTTCAGAAGTTTCTTTGTTCTTCATGCTTATCCTAACATGTTATTGGGTTAACTACATAGATAATTTCTGTGTAGATTGTAGACATTGTATGGTGACCCATAAACATGAGGGTCCCCTGAGCCAGTTGGGCTGTTAAAAAATAATAAAGTTTGCATACTATAGTTATTATTATTTGATTGGTTGATAGTCCTACACTTCAGCAAGTCGTGAGTTCTAGTCCCTTTCTGCTTCAGCAAGTCATTCCAGAAGAAAATCCCCCCCAAATAAATGTTTCTTTCACTCAGTATTTTCTTTGACTAAATTGTTTTTGTAACTTCTTACTTCTTAGAACATCTGGTTTGCCTTCTATAAATCAGTCAGCTAGTATTCAGGTTGTAGTAAACCTGGAAATAATCATGATCTAATATTTGTGTCTTTTTTGGCTTTCCAATTTTAAGTTTCAGAGTTATGGTTGCATTTTTGAAAATGCTAATTTGGACCTAAACGTTGCGCACACCCTTATCATCCTAAATCAGGTCTAATACTTTGTTTCTGTCTTCGTAGTTTGGGAGTACCTGTTAGTGTTTCAAATTAGAAATCAACTTTTGATCCAGCTTTGCACTTGTTAAGTAATCTGGCCATGTTTACTGATAAAACTTGCTGAGACGATGTGCTTGTTTAGCTTTCCTTTTTCTTTATTTGAAGTAAAAATGTGTTTTGTTGAATATGGTTTTATAAATAACTTGCATATCTATTGTCTCTTCTTGGACTTCAGATTGGATAAACAATATCATGCCATTAGGTGGATAATATTTGACGTGCTCCTGGCTTGTTCAATTTTGGGCATCATCAAATCAAAATGTCAGGACCGCTGAATGTATGTCATCACCCTTACTAAATTAATATGGTTATGTATTTCATCTTTTTTCTATTCAGTAAACAATCATACTCTAGTTTCTTAGATCAGTTGTATGTTATCACTTATGAGTGGCTCCTATAGCCTCTCCTTTTCTAGACATGGTAAATTTTTTGTTTAGTATCTGTTTAGTTCTGTCACATTAAAAATATATAAAAATGTTGCTGAACATAAAGCAAACATGCCTTGTTTTCTCTTATTTCTTTGATAGTTGATGCTCGATTGATTAATGTAATAGCATTGTTGTTCAAGCTATTCTACCTTGTGCATCCTTGTAAGTACAAATGCATCTTAAAGTGTCCCAGTTATATATTCTGATGAGTGAACTCATTTTCATCACTTTTGCAGTCAAACATTAGTGGGGCCACCTCAAACCTTAGAGATTCAACAGGAAGGCCATTTACATCATCCTTTTCCGGTCAATCTGGATCACTTCCGGGTTTTCATCACTCAGGTTGGTGAAGATTACAGTATTTTGTTAATCCATTGGTGCATGTTGCATTAACCTGCTTTTATTGTTAACTCTTCTGAATTTGCTTGCAAGGCTCACACAACATTCATGGAAATCTTAATCTTGCAAATATCTCTGGATCATTAGCACCAAGAAATAATTCATTGGCGGGCATTCCGTCTCCAGGGTTTCAACAACCCGGTGGTGGTATTTCCAGTGGCCGCTTCCCTTCAAATAATCTTCAAGCTTCCATGTCTCAGGTTTTTTTCCTTGGCAACCACAGCTTGTTCCTGTTCACGCTGAGTGGGATCTTTGTTGCTTCGATTCTTATTTCGCTTGATCCCTTTTTTAGATTCCTCATGGGCATTCTGGGATCAGCAACAGAGGAGGTATGAATGTTGGGGGAAATCCTGGATTTAGTAGTAGCACGAATGCTATTGGTGGTTCAATACAAGGTTTATCCTCAAACTTGGCTAATGTGGGTAACCGCAATTCTGCTCCTGGGTTGGTAGCTTCTCCAGTCTTAGGGAATTTAGGTCCACGGATAACAAATTCTGGGAATATTATGGGTGGGGGCAATATTGGGAGAAGTATAAGCTCTGGAGGACTGTCTATGCCTAGTATTGCAACTCGCATGAATTTAAGTGGCAACTCTGGAAGTGGGGCTATCAACATTCAAGGATCCAACCGTATGGGTAGTATGCTTCAACAAGGTATGTAGATGACATTACGGGTATGCAGGCTTGGTTGAACTTTCCATGCTTTATTGATGAATCTCTTTGTATATTCTCATTATATCTTTCATGTTGGCTGGATAGAAATGATCTGGTTCTAATTATAATTGTCTAGTTCAAATTTGAAAGGTACACTTGTGATAAGATTAGTAACAGGGATGTGGAAGGGGCGAAGGGCAACACTTTGCTCCTGAAGTTTCAAAGAGCAAACTGTTATTTTGGCCCACTTTGGCCCAAAACTAACAAGAACCAGGCTGTTGTTATTAGAAATCAGTACCATTATGTACTGGGCTTTAGTGTAATAATATATGTTTCACTTTGTTTATCCTTTGCCAGCATCCCCACAGTTTATGAACTTGCTTGGAAGTTCTTACCCATCACCTGGAGGGTCACTATCTCAGAATCAAGTACAGTCAGGAAGCAGTTCTTTAGGATCTTCTGGAATGCTATATGATGGAAGCTCAGGTGACAATGCTCCATTTGATATTAGTGACTTCCCTCAGTTAACTGGACGGCCTAATTCTGCTGGAGGTGGTCAAGGACAATATGGTAATACTGCAATGCTAACAAATCTTCAGATGATTTTTAGATTAGAGTACTCTTTAGATTATATATAACTTCTGATTTCTGTAATTTGAAGGATCACTGAGAAAGCATGGAGTAAGTGTCAATGCCATTGTGCAACAAAATCAGGAATTCAGCATTCAGAACGAAGATTTTCCAGCTTTACCAGGAAATAAAGGTGTGTGCTCACCAATCACCATTGCTAGTCTCATTATGAGTGTAATAGAGAAACAGAAGCTCTTACCCTTGTTTGATATGATATGAACGGCCACCTGTTCCCGTTACCAGTTCAGTTTTTTTAGCTTTGTGCACTTGCATTTCATGTGTTATTATTTATATTTTTGGTTTTGAAGGGCAGGCCTGGTGCAGTGGTGAGAGCTGTCTCACTGAGTCACCAGGTCGTGGGTTCGAAGCAGCCTCTCCGCAGATTTTGCGGGGGGAAGGCTTGCCTCGGTTTTTCCCTTCCCCAAACCCCACTCATGTGGGAGCCTCCGGCACTGGGTCTGCCCTTTTTTTTTTTGTTTGGAAAATTGCATTCAGCCATTCACAAAATCACAACATATGCTATAATTCAGCACTACATGATAATCTGTGATATCTTATTAGTTCCTTTGTTGTTTCCTTGTTTAATCACACTTTGATGTCCTGATCCTCTACTCAAGTTTCCAACTAATGTTATGCTAACTTCATTGTTTTTTTTGTTTCTGCTGATTATGTTTTTATCATACTTTTTTTTCTCTCTCTTCTGGAGTGTATTATCTAATTATATGTTTCTTTGGAATATAAGGTAGTTCCTCAGATTATCCTATGGATATCCATCACAAGGACCACCTTCATGAGAATGTAAATATTATGCAAGCACAACATTATCCTGTGAGTTGATGGTTTTACCATTTGATTTCCTGAACACATATTTTTGCTTATTCGTAATTTCGGCACACATGATTCTATAGATGGCTAGACCATCTGGCTTTAACTTGGGAAGCAGCTATCCACCCCGTCAACATCAGCAGAGTGCTAATTCAGTAAGTAATGCTACTTTTGTTCACATCATCTCAAGATTGAACACATCACCTTTTTTTAAAACTGCTTGATTTGTTATTTTCATTTCCCACCAGAGCAGCAGGGTCCTACTGAGATTTGATTTTTTTTTGGGTGCCTGCTAAGCTTTCTGAATGTGGATTACTAACCATAGTGATCTTTTATTAGGTTAAAAATGCTGGGCTGGAAACTATTGGACTAAGACCATCAAATTCTCCAAGTCCGTCAACTAATTCGGGGGTTTATGAGCAATTCATGCAGAAGTACCATCAACCACAGACTCAAAATTCACTTAGGTTGCAGGCATCTTCAGGTCCTCAACAGTACAAGGATCAGAGCCAAAAATCCGTTCAGGGAACACAGGCTGCGCCAGATCCATATAGCTTACTTGGATTGTTGGGTTTAATAAGAATGAAAGAGCCTGGACCAACAGCTCTTGCTTTGGGGATTGATTTGACATCGTTGGGGTTGAATTTGAACTCCCAAGATAATCTTTACAAGACATTTGGCTCTCCGTGGTCAAATGAGCCAGCTATAGGAGAGCCTGATTATCAGATCCCTGCTTGTTTCTCCGCAGAGCCACCACCAGCACTGCAAGTAAGCTTCTAAACATTTAGTTTTTGTTAGCCTCCTTCTTGACATTGCATATTCACATATTTTTTCATCCTCTGCAGCCATTACATTTTCAGAAGTTTCACCCCTTGACACTATTCTACATCTTTTACAGGTACTTTAGAGTTCATTTAACTACTAATTTGATGTAACTAGGCTGTGCATCATCTAACTATGTTCTTTGTGCAGCATGCCTAAGGATGTCGCTCAGTTATATGCTGCTAATGAACTGTAAGCATAGAAACTGCACAGTTTATAGATCACTCTCTGTATTCTTGATATATAGCTTGCAACCAACCATGTTTGTTTAAGCAAATTGCTGCTTCATGTTTTCAGATACAATAAAGGGTGGTTTTACCACAAAGACTACCGTGTCTGGCTCACAAGAGCTCCTAATTCTGCACCTCTTGTGAAAACTCCACTTCATGAACGAGGGTCCTACATTTGTTTTGATCCAAGCATCTGGGATACTGTCCATAAGGTTTCGTTATCTGAATCAAACCATGCAGAATCCTTATCCTTATCTATTAGCAGAGAAATGTGTATCTGAGCATTCTTTTGCTTGCAGGACAATTTTGTTCTTCATTACGAAGCAGTGGAGAAGAGACCTGTCCTTCCTTCTGCTGGCCAAAATATTAGGCGAGAATTATAAGGTAGCAATGCTTCTATCATGCATAAAAGGAAAGTATGATTAATTATGTGTATGTTTGACTTGCTTCTCTGATGCACACATATTTACCCTTGCAGCTTGCCCTAGGTTCTCCTGCATTTGAAGTCAGTTTGGTTTGATCAGTAGTGTCATAGATGGGATGAGTTCATACAAAATGATTCTGTAAGAACTTCTGACCCCAGGAAATTGACATGCATGCTGATCTGGAAAATGGAGCCCCTTTGTTGGCCGGCAGCCCTGCCAGGTGGCAGTTGTAGACATGTAGCTGAGATCTAGGTTTGCTTCAGAATTCATTGGCGTTAATTAGTAGGGCAACTGTACCTATGTTTAGACTTTTGAGTTTCTTTTTGCTGTTGTGACGCAGTCACCGTGATGACTATCAATGTTTTGACCGTTTTGAGTCGCATGAAAATAGAATCAGACTTTGGATTTGAGAAGTGCACGTTGCCTGTTTGACGATTAGAGTTTTGCTGAACATGTCGAGTAACTACAGAGCATACCCGGTTAAACAATAGAAGGCTCTGTAGATCTGTTTGGTTGCCTTCATTATCCTGCCTCTAGGCTTGTGCGGTGCAATTTATTTGCATCTAGCCCTTAGAGGCTGTCATATAAGCCTGAACAATACAAAGTTACAAATTTGGTTGCATTTCAATGTAGATTTGCAGTAGCCGATAGGGGCATACGAAAACGAGGAATATCCTCACCTCTGGTAGACAGACAAGGCTGATCTGAACCCAATCGAGTGGGCCAATGGTGGACACAGAGAAGGCAACTTAATGATCTGAATTCAATCGAGCATCCACTGGTTCGTTATGAGTGGATGTCTGTGTCCATGAGATGAAATTAGTTACCGTCGAGGGGATTGAGGATTCCAGAGCAGTGAGGGAAGTCTATAATTTTGAATGGCAACAAGGGGATTGTTATAGATTTGAGTGGCAATCAGAGAATTCTCTCTAAATAGTACTGTGAACATGGCGCCGAAGTAAGATAGATCCGCTAATGGTGTTATATTAGAACACTGTAGATAATATGACAATAATATACAGCCAACAATCAAATATTTATTATTAGCCATGTTATCTTATCTTAGAGAAAAAAAAAAGAACATTCATGTTTTAGTTCGTTCCGCACTTTCATTGGGCCCTGCGGGTCACCAACACACAAAAAAACAGCTTTGTTCCGAAGGCCGTAAGACCCACCGGATCATCACGCACGACAGACAGAATTAGTGCCACCAGCATCCACCATGCCACCAAAACGAGAGAGGTCAGGGGTGAAGCTACGTGTGCTTAGGCCTTTTGATGCGCATGATTCATTTTAATCCACGTGTATTGAAGTAGATTAAAGTGAGATTGAACTAAATTTCATTCCATTCCATTTCCAACACATATCGATTGAAGTGGATACACATCCGACAGGACATATATAAAGTGACTTAAGCTAAAATTTCAGGAGCAGCACGCGAACAGCTACGAGTACATGATATATATTAACATTTCTGGACCATCCTGAAAACTTGAGCAAGTGCCAAAGCGACAACCAATCATTGCACATATACATCGGCCAGCCTTCGTCGTCAGACATTGCAAAACAAAAGGGACAACTTTGTATCGCCTTCTCCCACCTACGCGCACATTCACGACGTGAAGCTGTCCTTCGCGTTCAGAATCTCCGCGTCATAAGCCGCGATGGCATCCAACACCTTGAGGTGGCAGATCACCTGCGCCCCCGCCGCCGCTTGCTCTCTCACCTCCTCCATTTCCTTACGCAGCGTGCTCAAGCTGAATTCCTCGGGCGCATCGACGTCGTAGACGAAGTACCGCCTCACCGAAGAGTCATCATCAGGGTTTTTTATTAGTTGCAAGTGCAGGTCGCGTCTCTCCAGCACCCGCCCTTCGGTTGAGGCTATGAGGTCTCGCATGCGGTCTCTGTTGTCAGGGTTCATGTAGTCGCTCAGGCAGAAACACAGTCCCGAAAACAGATTTGGTGCCTGCAAGCATGAAACGAAGAATCGAGATGCAGCGATCAGCTTAGGTCCATGAATGGATTCCTGTGTTGAATGATCGCCAGTGCTAGATAACATACCCCTTCAGCTGCTCGCATTCTTCCCTTCTTCGGCCCGTTGATTGTTCTGACTGAATCCATGCTGAATGCTACCTCGTAAGAAGCTTCTGGGCCTGGATGTGTCCCCAAGCAGCCCGCAACCCCTGAAAGAGCAAGGTCAAAAGCATCAGCAAAGGATAAACTCCTCTGATGATCTTCGATGCCCCCAATTCATGACTCCGAGGGTACTGTACATGGGAAGGAGATAAGATCCAGCAGCTTCAAACAAGTAAAACGTAGACTCAAAATATACCATACAAAAGAAAAGCTTACATATGGAACTGCAGCAGAGAGATAGCATACTAACATTCAAAATGGACAACCCATCTCCCAAGCAGTATGGCCATGAGGACTTCAAATGATCTGCTCCATGAGCTACCAGCACCTTTGGCCACAATGACATGGGTCACATCTTTTGACCACTCTTCTATCAGCTTCGCGTTGGTCAAACACGCAAACTTTTGCAAGAAATCCTGTCCAACAGGGTGAAGGAAATTGGTCAAGAGCTGGAATGGAACAGAAATCATTAGTAATGCATGCAGCAAACAATTTCTTGCACCACATTTATCCATAAAGATGGATTCAAATGGAACATACGAAACATGTTATCCATCCATGAAACGCCTTTTAAAACTGGCTTATTTTGCTACTTTATTCTATGTTACCTTCTCCGACACACTTAATGACAAGCCAAATAAAACCAACTGATCAGAAGGGCAGCTCGATGCGTCAGGCTGATCTGCAGCTGTTTCTTCCCCTTGGAAAGCAATAGAAATTCCTTCGGCTGGATGACTGGAATGATGGGATACAAGAGAAAATAATTATAATTAAATAATTAATGACTGCTCAATGACCAACAACCTTTATGTAATCTCCCAAGAAGGGCCAAGATCTAAAAAGATCATGTACCTCTGAGGCGAGGATAAATTTGAGGTGTTACACTCATGTGTTCGTTGATTATCCCTTTCACGATTCTTAGAAGTTGCTTTGTCATATGAATGTTGGCTAGAATCAAGAAACACAATAAAGAATTACCAAAATAAAAAACTATTGAATAGTTAAGCTAAGTAACCAGGAAACTTTGTCTTAAGAAGGAAGAAGAAACATGACATACCCTAGTGGCAAGGAAGAAGAACTTGAGGTGTCAAGCTGATCTATTTCTCCATCCCTTGAGTTATTGGTGGAAATTCCTTCTTTTTGAGAATGTTGGCTAAGAAAAACATGAAAAAGACAACACAGAGATTATATATTTATCAGATGAACTCCAAAATCTACATTACATATCACATAGCAAACATGACGAAATCACATACCTCAGAGGCAAATAGAAAGGATTTGAAATGTTAAGCTGATCTGTTTGTTGATTTTTCCTTTGATGATTGTCAAAATTTTCTTCCTTTTTTGTATACAGGCTGAACCACCAATTATGGAAATGAAAATGGGTGATAGATAAAATTATTATGAACCTTTAAAGTATACCCAAAGGAAAGATGAATAAATATCATGTACCTGCCAGGCAAGCAAGAACTCATGGAGTTAAGCTGATCCATTTGTTTGCCACCCCTTGAGCTATTGGGAGAAATTCCTTCTTTGTGAGAAGGTTGGCTTGGGGGGGAAATACAGCACAGAGATTATATATTAATCACAAGGTCTCTAATATCTATATTTGCATGACATTACAATTCACATACCTATGTGGGAACAAGGAAGTATTTGAAGTGTTAAGCTGATCAGTTTGTTGAGTTTCCCTATGACGAACATAAAGATTTCCTTCCTTATCTGCACATTTTCTGAAACCACGAAATTGTAGAAATGAAATATGGATGTTTCTTACAAAAATTTAATGAATCTATGGAGGTGAAGAAATGCATTTACCCTACAGGCGAGAAAGAACTTGTGGTGTTATGCAAATGAGATTGCTGACCTTCCTCTTCGAAATTGGTGAAAGGTTCTTCTTTGCATGAACAGTGCTAGAAAGAAAAATACAATACAGATTACATGAATTGCAACATCTACATATCTCCCAAGAAGAGCAAAGAATGATCACAATACCTTTGACGCAGGGAAGAACTGTAATTCTCCTTTCTATGTGTCCGCAGCTTATCACATGGTAGAGTCTTTGAAACATGTTCAGGGCACAACACATGGCCTATAGCCTACCACGTAAAATAAAATTAAGCATGTCAGAATATATATATGACATTGGTCGTAAGTAGTAAAGAAACCTTTGGATCAAAGGAAAAGAGCTAACAACATCCCAGCGGCAATCAATTATCTGAACTGCACATGGAACGTGATAACTCTTCCTGAAGTGCTTCTCATAACAACCAAGGGCTGCTCCCAGGAGTCCACATCTTCTGCATCTCAGTCCTGAAGCACGTCTAATTTCTGACTCCAAGTTCATAACAACGTCACCATCAAACCATACTTTAGGAGCCCTTCATAAAAAAATCAGTAGGAACAGAATATGAAAGGCTGTATCACCATAGCCAAGCAGTCCTTTACATTAAAATTGAACTGAACAGATTTTTTTCTAAAAAAAGGGAACGCGGTTGCGTCTTAAATCTGCAGTGAAAATGACATGATGATGATATATATATATATATAAAGTATTAAATATAGATTAAAATAATAACTAATTATACAGATTGCGACTAATTTACGAGATAATTTTTTAAGTCTAATTAGTCTAAGATTTGACAATGTGGGGTTATATTAAACATGGGCTAAAGACGGATTAATTAGGCTTAATAAATTCGTCTCGCGAATAACTGACGGATTCTGTAATTTATTTTTTTATTAGTATCCGAATATCTCATGCGACATCTCCATACGATATCCGATATGACATCCCTAAACTTTTCTCCCTGAATTTAAACACCGCCTAGTGTAAAAAAAACACAGGACAGGGGCAAAACGGAAGAGCAGATTTTGGTCCGTTTTTGTAAGATTCTATTTTCATTCGGCTGTCTTCAAAATGCATGTCAACGTATTGACATCGAAAGGGAGTGGGTGATTTTGCTTCAGCAAGTCACCACGTAACTATATATACAAAAGAATAGGAAAAAGGGCTTCAATAGAACAATGGAATCGGACTTATGTGACTTCATACACGAGTACATATTTGATAGGGACAATTGTCCATTGCATATCCAAAGTGATGGTCCTTTGCTGATGGACACCTACTTTAGAGTATTTTACCAGAAAATACTCTGGTTCGGTGAAATTATGCCACATGACACCGCGGACTGGTTGCAGCCGGTTGAGGAAAGAGAACAGCGACGAAATGACATTCTTGCCCCTGCCTCTTTCTTCTTCCTCTCTCCCTTTCTCTTTTTTCTGTTTCCTACTCCGCGGCAAGCACCGCAACCGGTACCTCTCGCTTCGGTGTCTCACCGAGCTTAATGCCGAGCGCACCACGCGCTGGCGGCCGCGCGAACCGAGGACGTGAAGCCAGGATTCCTGTCGACCGCTCCCCGGCCAACCCCGCACGGTGCAGAGCGCCTCTGGCACCAAGGACGGGTTGTCCCTCGACGACCCACTGCACACGCTGTGGGCGCACCACGAGGCGATGGAGCACAACTGCCTCGAGCCGTTCAAGGCGCTGCTGCGTGACCTGCTCAGCAGGCCCGGCTTGCCGTCGGTCAGCTGTGTCGCGGCCGTGGCGGCGCGAGAGGTCGGCGTCCCGAACGTGCTGCTAGACTGGGTGCTCGGGATGAAACAGGGCGTCGCCCGGAGCCACGATGGCTGCGGCTGCCCGTGCCCCAGCGGCCGTGCTCGCGCGCGCCACTGCGGCCGTGCTCGCGCGCGCCACTGCGGCCGCTCCTACTCGTGCGCGGGGCAGCGGTTCCCCGTGCCTTAGCGGCCCATCCCTCGCATCCCACCGGCGTGGCCCCGCATCCCACCGACGCGCCGCGGGAAGGAGGAAGATGAACCCGCGGTGGCATTTCTGATGATGGACGCCAAGGTGCCCGGCCACGTGCTTGACTCGAGGCCCGCTCCTGTCCTTGCCGCCTGGGCATGCGCCCATGCTTGCCGTGCCTCTACGACGCCCGGCCACGTGCTCGCCGTGAAGCCCGCGTCCAAACACACCGTCCGGCCGTGCGTGCGTACGTGCTCGACCGCTCGCCGCGCAGTCGCATCGTTTGCGCTGCCCAGCCACGTGCTCGCCGTGCGGGACGACGCCGCTGCCGAAAACTACGGGCGCAGCGGTGGTGGAGAGGGTGCATTGCGTCGCCGCGACCTGTGGTCCTTTTTCAATGCGAGGCTGCGAGCACAGGGGAGCCCAGCATGGCGGCGCTAGAGCAGCACGAGCACACCAACAGCAACCTCCCCGACCATGGGCACGCGCGGCGACCTGCTTGCCGCGGAGTAGGAAACAGAAAAAAAAGAGAAAGGAAGAGAGGAAGAAGAAAGCGGCAGGGGCAAGAATATCATTTCGCCGCTGTTCTCTCTCTTCAACCGGCTGCAACCGGTCTGCGGCGTCCTATGGCCTAATTTCACCGAACCAGAGTGTTTCTGGCAAAATGCTCCAAAGTGGGTGTCCGCCAGCGAAGGACCATCACTTTGGATGTCCAACAGACAATTGTCCCTATTTAATAACACTAGATCACGTGATCCTAGCTTAATTTTCCTCGTCTCCACCTGTATTTATCTATTTCCATATATCCACACATCATGATCTTATTTATGATCCCAATTTTTCTAAACTCAATCCGTTTCCGCCCAAAGAATATAGAAATAGAATAAAAAACCACTGTTTGGCTGATGGTTTCTAAGGCTGATAAGCCGGATGATGCTGATTTGTTGTTGTAAAGAAAATGGACCCTAGGCCCATTTACTTTTGATTTGGGTGTTTGATGACCAACACAACCAAATTGAACTAATGAATTTGCAAGTGATTGTTTTGTAGTTCAATATGGTGTAAGACGTGACTTGGACGAAGGTGATGTGATGATCCGATGATCAACACTACAAGCAAAACCTTAGAAGCACAAAAGAAGACCCAAGATATCAAGCAAAGTCCAAGTACGAAGATAGGAACCAAGCCGGACGCAAGATCACGAAGAAACGAGCTCATAGAGGTGACGGACGCTAGACCGGACGCTGGCGGAAAGCGACCAGACGCTCCGATCAAGAGGCTCGGCAAGGACAGCTGGCGCAAATCGACCGGACGCAGGACTGCAGCGTCCGATCAAGTACAGAAAGGTTCCAGAGTGGCGAAATTGTGACTGAACGCTGGCAGCGTCTGATCAGTTGATCGCAGCTCTAACGGTCGGGACGACCGGACGCGTCCGGTCAGGACGTGATCAGTGTTCGGTCAGTAGAAGAAAAGCAGGATTTCATTCCCAATGGCTACTTTCTCAGTGGAGCTTATAAATAGACCCCCAACTGGCCATTTGAAGTGTGTGGAGCTAAGGAAACATACCAAGGGTGCTCGTACACCATTTTAGTGATCTCCACTTGCATAGTGCTTAGTGATTCATTAGGTGATTAGCGTAGGTGCTTCGCGAAGTGTTTAAGTTGATTAGACCACCGCTTATGCGCTTGCTCTAGGTTTAGGCATAGTGTTTAGTGAGGTTTGCATACCTCTTACCACTCGGTGCTTGCACGCACCATTGTTGTACATCGGAGGGGCTTGTAGTCTTGTGAGATCACACCAACCGTGTTTGTGGTGTGGCTACCACCGTGTATCGGAGGGAACAAGGCCCGCGGTATTTCGGTCGGAAGCTTGATAGTGAAGATGACGGGGAGCATCTAGGAGAGGCTTGCCGAAAGGCACGTCTGAGACCCACTTGCGTGTGGGAAAGGCCCGAGGCTATCCACGGAGTTACCCGACTAGGAGCTTGGCCCTTGCGAGGGATTCCTTGCGAGGGGCTCCAACGAGGACTAAGGGGAAGCTTGCGTGCTTCTCGATACCTCGGTAAAAATATCGAAGTCGTCGACGGGAGTTTGCATATCTCTACCTTGCTCTTTAGCTTCCGCATTTACCTTGTTTGTATTACTTCTTTTTGCGGTAGAGATAGCAACACACTAGCAAAACCGTAGTTGCACATTTAGATAGTTTATCTTTTGCATAGGTTTTGCTAAGGTTAGAAAAAAATGCCATAGTTTAGAAGTAGAATTTTAAGTTGCCTAATTCACCCCCCCTCTTAGGCGTCACGGTCCCCTTCAAGTGATGATGAGCTTGTTCATGATATGTATTCTCGTTTGAATCTAATTATCAATGAGCTCCATTCAATAGGACTAACAAAGCTAAATGATGCGGACATCATGAGGAAGATCATCTCCGTGCTACCACAAAAGAAATATGCAAGCATCATCACCATCCTTCACAACATAGAGGACTTTAGCACCATGACCCTGGCCATAGTCATTGACAAGATAGTGGCATTTGAAATGTCATGCAAGATGGGTCAAGAAGAAGCCTCTTTATCAAGCAAAGGCAAAGCTCTCGCATGTAGCGAAAAAAGAAGATGAAGGGCAAGCAAGTTGAGACAAGCTCAAGCTCAAGCTCCACAAGTGAAGATGAAGAAGAAGATGAGGACAATGATGATGATGATGAAGATTCAAGTAAATATGATCAAAGAATCAATCAAACTAATCAATAAGGTAGAGAAGATGATCAAAAGGCTCAATGTCAAGGGTGTGTCCATTCAAATTCAAGATATCATCTTCACCAATCAAAGAAATAAACAAAGAAAGAGAGGATGCTATGGATGCGGTGATTTGGACACTTTGTGGAAGTTTGTCCAAACAAGCCCACACCCAAGACAAAGAAGAAGGCGTGCAAAAACCAAACCCTCACATCAGTAAGGTCATGTGATGATTCTTCAAGTGAAGAAGAACACCACCACAAGAGGCGAGGCCGCAAGCACTCATCATCAAGCTCTTCTCGTGTATGCCTTATGGCACGAGGTAACAAATGCTCATCCTCTAGTGAGAGTGATAGTGATGATGAAATGCCTTCTTATGATGAAATTGTGCAACAAAATCTTAATTATGCTAAAGTTGGCACTAGTCAGCAAAAGAAGATCGAAAAATTAAATGAAAAGCTAGATAGTTCACAAGAAGCATACAAAACTTTACTTGAACAATATGAGAACTTTGCTAATCTCAATGTTGAACTATCTACTAAAATTGAGC